TGAGGATCTCGGAGCTGGTTAGCGATTAGTAAGGAGTGAGACTGACCTCAAGACTTTATTTTTTACTTACTCTATTTTACAAACTCTATTTTCAGTCATGCAGATAGAAAAATGCTTAATTAACAGAAACAAAAGAACTCTTGCAAATCATTTTCAAGACCCTGTTTAGACATGGAGTGCATGGGGGACCCCGGTCTAGTGGGGTAGGTTTCTTTTGTTTTGTGTCCCCCAGAGCGTGAAAACAAAAGAAACCAGCCCCACTAGACTGGGGTCCCCCACTCCATGTAAACAGGTCCCAAATATATTCACGTTTATTCATTTGATTGCTGCATAATAAAGTATAAATGGAAAAAGGTACGGTCATTGCCAGGGAAAACTGAGCTGCAATTTGCAAGAAAACGCGGTAACAAAGTTCGTGTGTAACTCCAAATCAATTTTTGCTATCTCATATCGTAAACCAGCGCAGGTTAATCAAGTCTTTTGCTATCCACTAATAAAATATAATAGAAGGTTCATTTTGCTTGTATATCGTTACATTCGTAGTTTTCCTTGTCCTATCCGAACGCCTGGAACGGGCTACGTCAAAACATGTTGGCAAATTCTTTTGGAACATTAAAACAGTATTTCGAAGTAATGGAATAAATATATTGAAAAAAAAGTTAAAAGCCGCCAATCGCTAATCGCCTCCAAACTATCATGAAGGAAAGCTTGGTTTCTTAACATGTATTTGGACATTGTTTTTCGTTCTCTTTCCACTTTTTATTGGAATCATTGTCATAGCGCAAAAAACTAAATTCGGTTACCGCTCTTTTGTAAAACTTTCATTTATAAAGACACATGTACAGTAAGCTGTAGAACAAGCGCATTAGATATCATTTCTTAACTGAATTGCTTTCACACTTTCTCATATGACATATAAGACACGAATTTTAGCCAAATGCAATAAAATACACTTCTCCTAGGACGGGATAAGCATATATACTCAGTAAAAGATTGACAATCAAAAAGAGAACTACAGAAGATTAAATTGGACTCTAAGCTGAAAAAAGTGTTGTCCCGGTCAGCGCGGCCCTAAAGTGACTAAAGTTGTGTGTCACATAATAGTCTAAGAATGATAACATGGCTCAAAATAAATTTCGGACAGTGGCCGAACCACGTTGATCGACGAAATAAATTTTTACGCTGTCACGTCTCGACGTTTTCGGCTGGTCAAAATGAAGAAAAAAAGTTAACTCTGGACAGTCTGCAAGCCCAAAACTATCAGTTACTTGGTCTAGTCGTTGCTGAACCATTCAAGGTGGCTGAACACAGTTCTGGCAGTTTGTGAGTATATGTCATTTGCCAAATCAAGGCAAGAGAAAGATTGCAGCTCACAAGCTAAAACTTGGCAAGTAAAAAATATACGGATGAAAGAGTTTGACTGACAGGTCAATGACGTTTTTGTGGTTTCCATGGCAACATGAACGATTGAATACAACCTGTGACTTGCTTGCCACATTCTTGCCACCACGTTCAGTGCAGTCCACAGATCGACACAAACGAAAAACCAACGAAAAACCAAAATCGTTCTAAAGAACGATTAGTCAGCCCGCCTGACTAGTCCCAGCGGTTTACTTATATCAGAGTAAATTCACCACTTTTTAATACCTGTTTTAATAGGGCCCTAACAAGAGATGGAAAAAGTTAACAGGAGCTGAATGGTTCAGTGAATACGAAGGTGGTTACGAAGTAAGGACAAAAATCAGTTATTATCATTATCGTGCTTCAAATTTCGCTTAATCCTGGGTTAAACTTAACCATCTTTCTAGGAACTGGGCCCAGGACTGCAGAAAGAAGAGGACGGCATAACGCTTGAGTGTGACAAACGTGACTATTACTTGCGTGTTTTGTCGGGAATTCAATTAACACTGGTGTTTTTTGCCCTTCTACAAAAAGATCTGTTTATTTAAAAGGACTGTGAAGTTTGGCGGAAGGTTTTTCCAAACAAAATTATTGGCACGCTTGTCACACAAGGTTTGCCGTCGTCTTTCCTGTCCCGTCCTTTTGCGTAAAGTCCACTATTAAGACAAGAAAGAAATAAAACTTGAAACAGGTCACTTTTGTGTGGAGATGGGGGAGATGGGGCGGGAATATATGAAAAAGACCCGTCATTTTCACCATGCGTAGCAATGCAACCATGACGTTTTATCTTTGAACTATATTTTAGATTTCTTATACTGGAGTGGGTAAGACACAGCTGAATTTCTTACGACTCCTGAGCGAAAAAGCGACACAGATGATCAATATTACCTGTACGGGATCACAAGGATGCTTTGATAGAAACAGTAACATTGTGGAAAAAGCCATCAAGCTTCAAGGAGCCAACGATGGTGTATTATCCTTCATGAAAGATGACGACTCAAGCATTAAGATCACACAGGTAATCTTACAAAGTCATTTTTAAATCTCTGTGTTATCTGCTTCCGTGTCAAATGTGTTGACAGTTCCCGCGAAAAATATTTCTAAGGCTTGGCGGCTTGGCCATTAAACCTGTAATCAGCGTTGTTCCCCAAAGACTTTTTTTGCATACTGCTCCACTGTCAACACTACTTTCATTTTGTTCTACACTAACTCTACACTATTGTCGGCACTTGATATGTTGTAACATACAAATCCAAGAGTTATTTACTTGTGGCAGACCGATATTTCTTTTTCGCCGGCTAGCGCAATTTTGTGCAAGGTGTTTCTGGTTTTGGGCTTCTTTGAGGACTGAGTATGAACTGGAAAAGTTTGCTTTTCTAAAAAAGTGCAGATTGAATTTTAACGTCCTCACAAACCCCGTCCACCTTGTTTACTGACCAAAATTTCATGAATTTCTCAAAACGTGCGAAATAGTCTTTTTTACTTGGATTTTTATTGTAACAATTTTACAAAGTCTAGAAGACTACAGGCTGCAAATGCAACTTTACTCGTACATCTGCTTTGTAATACGTACATCTCGTTTGAATTGCAGGTTCGCAAAGATTGGAAAGCTGTTATCCAGGTAGAAACCGAGGACCTCAATCAAATGCCTATAGTGGACTTTGCCCCCGGTGAATTTCTGACATCGAATGAGTTCGGTTTCGAAGTTGGGCCCATCTGTTTTAGCTAGTGATACTGTACCGGAGACACCTTTTTCATAACTTAATTCTCCAGAAAAACTCACTATTAAACGTTATTTTCCTGTATGACTGGTTAGTTTAGTTATTTTGCATAGTATTGGTAGAGCGATTTTCGTATGACCTTGAAAAATGGTTTCGGTAAGTGTTCGTTATTTGTTTTATCAGCCAATGGATGAAAAGATCAAAACATGGCCTCTTAGCTTTCCCGCCAAGTAAAACCCTAATATGGAGTAGGCATTGTGCGATTGGCCAATCGTGTTGCAGTATGACGTTAAAACGAAGTATGGGTTGGTTTCTAGAAAGTTCTCGGGCATGAAGTTTTTTCACTCGAGTGCTCGCTTAACCAACCAAAAGCCACCCGCGTTTGTATGTGTTCGATAAACCAATCAAATCGCTCTATTTCTGTTCTTTTGTTGTTTCTGTATTGTTCGCGCGTTTTTATTTCAAGGTCATACGAAAATCGCTCCAATATTTAACTTTCGGACCATAAGTTCGCTCTGAAAGGCAATGAGACAAATTGAGAGGCTTGTCACCGTATGTACTATACCTCACTTGATATTTTCCAGAGCTTATAAACAGGAAAACATGAATAAAGTTAGCGGGTGTTGTTTGGCAGGTCTTCAGAATCTCGTCCAACAAAACCTTCAGTAAAATAAATATTAAACGTATTTAGGATACATTTTATTAAAGACCACGTTTTTAGACTTTTCTGTGATTTGTTGTAGTACGAATAAATTATGAAAACTATGAAATAGTTCTTTTCTTTAAAATAATGAAATCAACGTGCGATTTTGTGTTGGACATCGGGGTTACCTGTCTTGCCCGTTCCTTACCCAGTATAAGTTTATCGCACGAGAAATGCTAACGAGAAGCTAGATTTGACTTAAACGGTACTTAGAAGAAACATATCAAGCTCCTGCTGCCTGACAATAAATGGTTCTTTGTCGGTTATTTAGGGGAGATTAAAAAGTGCGTGAGGCTACCCCCGCGACTTTGCCGAAATATCGAGGAATGTAACCCAGTAGGAAACTCCCTCAGTTCGATCAATCGTGTTCCGATTTCACCACCATGAGGCAAAAATAAAAACTGTGCCATGTTTTGTGCGTAAAAAGCGATGTTTGTAAACTTTTCTTTCTTTTCATGGCCAGGTTTATTTTGTCGCTTTTGGCCGTCAAGTAAGATTTTATTCCTAAAAAAGTAACAGTGTTAGAGTACATGGGTATGGCTGGGTTGGTCTAACTTTCGTTTTAACACACATGCAGCAATGACAAAAATCTATAATATAAGGTGAGTAACTGGCCACTTGGCCACGAATTCAACCAAATCCAAAATTGCAAAAAAGCAACGGATCAAAATTGTAGTTGTTTCACCTGTCAGGTGTTCATTTCTGAAATTTTATTCGTTTTCTACTTTCCACAGGAAAAGAAAAACAAAACCTTTGGCCATATCAACGGAAGGCATGATCACGAGCCAAACATTGGCACGGAAAAATGTGATTCTGAGTTGCGTCTCTCGCTCGACTGCTGGGGCAAACCACCGTACCAAAACAGTGAACAAATTCAGTTGTAGAACTTTGTTCTACGGAAGTCAACAATACTTTGATTCCACCTGCGCAAATGTAAATATAGTTTGTAAAGGAAAAACCAAGTTTTATAACTTTTTTATGAGTCATTTTCTGGATATGTTTACACGATGAATGATGTGTTTGTTATAATGCCTACAACTAATGAAAAACTATATCGTATTATTTTAATTCAAACAGCAATAACGGGGAGATAGAATCGCATTATTCAGGAGATGATGGATTGAGACACTTTCATGCGCAAAAAAAAAAAAGATCAACTGGTTTCCTTTCACGCCATTGCCTAAATTGTAAAACGTTGGTTTAAAAGCGGCCGTGTCGGTCAAACCTTCAGTACTGTTCAAGGTACTACACTACTTGATTCAAAAGATGTATTTTAAAGCCTTGTTTCTTTTCTCGTGCATCGTTGCCGCATGTTGGCCGGCCAAAGTCAAATTCAGCGGTAGGTATTGAGATTTCGCTTGTGTCTGGTGTCTATGTCTTATTAAAACTTCCCAGATAGTGGCCGCTATAACTTGAATTTAACTTACTGTAAACCACACTAATCGTGACAGAATTCCACTTAGTCCACAAGCAATGAATATGACGCACTGCCCCAGCAGTCTTTTACATTTAAATTTGATCAATTGTTTGCATTATTAACTAGCAAAATAGTTCGTTTTGTCTTCAAACCACGAGATACGTACCAGTTTCCTAAACTTAAGGCGCAAAATTTTACCTTGACTTACGCTTTCCAGAAATGTTGATTTAAAAAAAAATCGTGAACATGCATAACAAAAAGGAGGGTACGTTTATCCGGAAAAATCAAAAAGGATTTTGAGCTCTTTACTGGAAAATTAGGTGTACGAGTAGATTTATTAGGCATTAGATCGACGCAATGTACTGACATAGAGGTGCCGACAGAATCAATCGGTCCTTTTTCATTTTCAAAATGTCTGTATTGTTTCCTTTAGCAATGATTTCCATCTCAACTCAATGGAGTTTAAAATATCCCAATTGCTGCTAGTATAGTTTCGGTGTTTCAAGGGGGCGTAGACAACGGCACAATTAAGTCAATAAATCTCATTTCATTTAGTCTCGTTAACACCCAAAAATGCGTTTTAAAGCTTCGTCTTGTAAAGGTACGGAAAAACGGGCAACAAAAAACGTGCAACTTGTCACGCAACATCGCTGCAAAACGAGTTGAATAGCGTTGTTGCGCGTTTACCACCCAGGGGGTTCAAACCTGTTAATAACCTGATTTGTTGCAAAACAGGTTTGATGTGGGTGGTAAAATGCGCAACATCGCTATTCAACTCGTTTTGCAGCAATGTTGCATGACAAGTTGCACGTTTTTTGTCCCCCGTTTTTCCGTACCTTAAGTTTGAACAAAACTGGACTGTGAACCTTCGTCTATCAATACAGTGGAACCTCTATTAAGGGGACACCCATCGGACCGAGGCAAGTGTCCCTTGAATAGAGGGGATCGACACCTCTGTTCTGGGGTTTTTTAATTATTAGCTAACGAAGTCAATAATTTTATTATCCTGCCTCAGAATCTGCTGCAGTCATAATTATTTCAAGCAGCTAGAAGGCATGAAGTGTAAAGAAACGAGATAAGCTTTTCTCGGCGAAATTGTGAGTTGAACTCCCACAAGTGCAGTACATTGATTTAAGTGAGAAAGTTCATGTTGTGAAAGCTGTCATCATGGTGACCTGTGCTCTTTGTGGTCAATCATGCCGAGGTGTCCCCTGAAAGGGGCCCAGAAAAAGTGTCCCTTTCCCCTGAATAGAGATGTCCTTTCAACATAAGTAACAGTTACAAAGATTATGTGTTCATTTTTCAGGGACAAAGTTTTGTGTCCACTGATTAGAGGTGTCTCTTGAATAGAGGTGTCCCAAAAGGAGAGGTGTATTTTGAATAAGGAAATTTATGTTCAGAATGATAATAGAGATTTACTTTCCTTGTCATTCTACAAAGAACTAAATTGTCAGAGCGTTCCTGCTCCGAACAATGGTGTACTGGACTGCGAAAAGGAAGGGAATAGTCAGGCAGTACGATGTCAACTCAAGTGTAACCAAGGTTATGACGTCACATACCTTGCTGCTGAATACTATGTATGCAACGAGGACGGAAGCTGGTCCGCTGAACCGTCATCAGCGGGCACGCAATGGCCGGACTGTAAAATATACAGGTTGGTATAATTATTTTTTGGTGCCGAATTCTTTTTGTCCTTTAACGTAACCACAATGGCGGCATCTCAGTCTTGCAATACAAGTATGCCTGAGAATTTCAGGAACATCTATGGGAATATCGTAAGCATAAGAAAAGGTATAGCCCTTATTGCCATGCGTTTTGTTGTTGCACAGGTACGACAATTCGTTGTTTTTTTTTTACATATTTTTTTAAGTAAACAGAAAACACTTGAATCAGTGTGGAGAACAAAAAGAAGTAAGTTTCTTAATTTACAAGCCCTATGCTTACTTCGCCGGTCGTTCTTCCTCTGGTTTACTAACAAATCAAAGATTGCGACTGCTCACAAGCGAATAGCGAAAGAAACGAATTTTTTGCGACGGGCTAGTCAATTAATCATAATATAAACAAAATACTCTCACTGTTTCATTTTGTAGTCCAGGTTATATAAGGAGTCTATTTGTCATATGTTATATTGTTCTCAGTAGGCCCGAGTTCGATTCCTGACCAGACCAATGAGACATCACGGCGGTCATGTTGGTGTTCCAAACCCCAAATTTATTATGTAAACGCTCTCCTTTGTTTCAATAAATTTGCATAGATGCTGGTCACGTGAGTGAAAACGCCCTATACCCTGATAGCTATGTAATATGAACAGTCCCAGTCCTCACTCCTGAAGATTTGTTTCCGTATAAGAAGGGTTCCAGTCCTCGCTCCCACTTACTCACTTCCGCTACGGTGTCAATACCTGTTTACACTGCATGCACCACAAGTGTTGCACAGAACCTTTCTAATATGTCACGCTCCTCTTTCGAGATCGACGCTGCGGGGTTTCACTGCGTTACAGAAATCGCACCGAAATCATCATTCTTATACGTGAATAGAAGCCCTATCCGGTCTAGTCATTTTATGTACCCACACAGCAGCTATCCGATATATTGTGAACACAGCTTTAAAATAACTAAGGAGAAGGTGCTGACTTTGTTTCACATTTACAATTGGTTAGACCGTACAGTCTTCTCTCCCACAGTAACTTTCACTTACGTGTAATTCGACTGACTCTACTGAACGTAAAAAACCACGTGGAAAAAGACTCTCATTCAGTGACCACATGCACGCTGCCTGAGATGAATAAGAGGAGTAACGTATTCTACATTGTAATTAAATAATTGTAATTTGTTTACCCAAGGAGCACTTAGGAGTTCTTAGGAAACTCGTTGAAACGTGTCTGTCGAATCGAATTGGGGTTTGGAATTGTTGGTTTTTAAGGAGAGGGGGAAACCGCAGCACCCAGAGAAAAAACCTCTTAGAGCAAGGGAGAGAACCAACAACAAACTCAACCCACATGTGGCGTTGTGGTTAATTTCTTCTGAAGATGTTTGTTGGAACATACGAAACGTCAATTTAAGGTTTTTTTCTTTCCACAATTGCGTTTATATTTCCTTATGTTTATCACCGCAGTTTGCTTTTTGTTTCTTCTTAAGCTGAGATGGCCAAAAAACAAGAGTATCTACTATTGAAAATTATTGACTATTGACTATTCAAGGGCCTTTGTGGCTGTCTTTAAACAGGGTATGAGATTAAATATAGCTGCTTTGCTGTTTTTTTCTTATTTTCAGCCGAGGAGAACCAGTTCCTTGAAGAAACGGCACCACCGTACCGCATTCATTTTCATTGACAAGTGTCAGATCTACGACGACGTTTTTCGTAGGAACTGAAATAACCCTGAATTTGAGTAACGGTCAAAACTGACTTCGAATAAATGTTAGACGAACAGTTTTAATACTAATAAGATACTAACTTTGATTTAGTAACTTCACAAAATGATGTCCTTAATTTTTTTAAGACAACTGAAGCTACGTATTACGGTGTAATTGGCTGTAAGAGTTCTCTATCTTTCCACCAATTTAGTTTGCTTTTTTCCCTTCCTATGTAAGTGATACAAATTTACCAAGATTTGTTTTTGTGTCACAAAAAAAGGCTAAGGTCTCAAGAGGCACTAGTCCTATTAAAGACATTCTTTTCTGAGAAAACACCACGTTATTCCTAAAACGGATCCCAGGAAGCGTGCTTATGACATCAGACCAAGCAGCCTTTCGCCCCTAGTTTAAGTGCAAACAGTAGGAGAACAGTTCTTTTCCCAGAAACGTATAACGACCCTCAATTTCGGGTCACTAGCATGTTCAGGGTTTCAAATGAACTTGCAACACGAACACAGTTTCCTCTTTTCAAAGTATCGAAAAGTAGCATCATTGGAACCATTTTACTTTTTTGTACTGAACTGGAGTCCGTAAATAATTCCAAAATGATAGAATCCAGGCCTTCAATGATTCCAAATGTTTTGTGTTAATTTGTCGGGGAGATACCGAATGTAGGGTGTTTTTAGTATCCAGTATTCCTTGAAATGTTTATCATTTCTTTCTCCAAAGTACCATTCTTTAATCATTCGTACTTTTACCTATAAAATGCATAGAGTATGTTTCGTATTCTGCGAGGAATGTACAGGCCTACAAAGTAATGAAATGCAGTCTCAGCGGGTTCCGCCATATTGGACAAGGAATCTTGGAGATAACTCACAGCCCACCAGCAGGCAACTAGACATGCAGTCGAGGCTGCCGCGCAGCATAGGGGCAGCGAGAGAACTAGGACTAGAGCGAAGAGTCCGGCGCCCACAAGAGAAGACTCTGCTATTACGAAAACGACAAAGGAGACAAGGAACATGGCCAAGACAAACGTAAGAAATATCATGCAGGGAAATGAGCCTGCAAAAGCTGCAGTGCTCACGAATAGAACTGTCAGCGGTCTTCGCCTGGAGAATCTGAGCAGCCATGAAAGGCGGGAACCTCTCTTGTTGATTGGTTGCTGTTGTGTCTGCGAGTAACGAGGCATTTTATCGGGATTGGCTTCTGGCAAATGAAACCTGACACGTTTGTGGCTTGTGTCAGTTAAACTGTCATAACTTGCAATGTCTTGAACTTCACTGTCCATCACCAAGAAGGTAGAAGACAAAACCTGAAACTGAAAAGTCGAGAAATGAAACTGAAGCATTTAATAAAACAGAAAGATCAATGACTCCCTTCCCACTGTCCTTCCTTCAGCTAATTTTCATAATCAGACAGAGCTCACAAAATGGGAAGATCGACGTCATTCATCCAATTATTTATATATATATAATACTTCAACCTTCAATTTTTCACCTCTTCGGTTCTTCTTAATGTCACTCGTTAAACAATATTATGGATTTAAGGAGCGAATGCGTGAAAAAAGCAAAAAGCGTTTTGTGAGAGGCTGAGAAAATGGCGGACAAAGGCAAAGAGATTAGCCGACTTTGAATTAGTGACTGAAACAAATATGCCAGAAGACACAAAAAGAGCCATTTGAAGAACGAAAACTAGTTCTTAAAGACTATCCCTACCAGAAATAATGTCAGCTCGTATCTTAAAACTTCCTAGGAAATACGTAAACATGAAAACATTGTATGAAAGGATGTTACCAGCCTAGAAACATTTTAAACAGATATTAAATAAAACAATTATTGAATTCGCCTTTCATATAATATGAAGAATTATACAATTGTCCACTGCGGTCTTCGGTTTAGGCGGATAACACCCTCCTCGATCTATGTTCCTTAGTCAGACTTAACCTCGTTTTGCGATTGTTAATTATTACAAATGAAACTTTAACATGGAAACACTTGTAAATACAAAGTTGCAAAATATGAAACGCCGAAATAAATAAATAAATAAATTAATCAATTAGCTAATACAAAAATTAAAGTTAGTTTTGACCGCAAAAATATACATAATTTATTGTAAAATTCACGTACAGCTCAAAGGTTATTGATGGGGTCGTGATACAATGCTCGTTTTCGGCCTTATTGTTTTCGTGTTTGAATTTTAATACTGTCACGTCAAGGTGGACGTCACACTAAACGTGATTTTGTGAATGTCTAAAATGATTATCAACCAAGCGACATTATTTGTTTCGAAATTTCGTTTCTTATACGCTTTCAGAGGAAAAAACACTTGGTATAATTTTGTAAGGAGTTTAATCTCATTTACATGTCCGCGTAATGTGGCACGTTTTCAGTTGTGCACTTCAGCGAGCTTCGGAAAAAAACTACTTACTGCCGCTCAAGTCGCATTTGCAAGACAAAAACTAAAGAAGGTAAGGTTGGATATTAATTTCCATTTTCTGTTAATCTTTATTACAAAATTTTACGTCATGGGCATTTATAACGTTTGAAACCAAGTAAAGCCCTAATCAATTGATCTTGAACGTTGAGAAAATGACAGCAGAGATTGCAACGATGAATAATACAATAGATCTATAATAAAAAATTAGATGACTATTTCCGAGGTGGAAAAGTAACTTTATTTCGCGCCTCAGAAGTTTTTCCGGGGATCATACATGAAGTGCTTTGTTAGAGACTTACTGTATATAGCCTGCAGAGTGACAGTCAATCTCAGCGACCGAAAGTGGAAGTCTATATATTTGTTATCTAGAACGTATTCTTGTCTCCACAACCCGTCGTTTTCTCTGCCAGCGTGGTCTTTGAAGCCTCTGGGAGTCTGGAGACTAGAATGATCTGCACGTGAATAATGAATGTGGACGTCACAATCACAGCGTAAGGGCGCGCATTTAAAAATTACTTCAGGAAAGAGAAGCAGTTTTTAAAAGTGTAAGAGGTTTAAGAGTAATTTGCCGGCGATTTCGTGGGTTTGAATTAACATACTCTTTGTGACTGACGTACAAAACTAATTATAATGCTGCTGAGTCGAACCTCTTCATTACAAACGATTCCACGGGACATAAGCCTTCCTTAAAGGGGTTCTATAGAACTTTCCCCGGTTGTTCAAACGTTGGATGACGCTTTCCACCGGATAAATCGCTAACCAACCGATCAGTATTTGCAAAACCGTGAATTGCGCTATCCGAGTTCAAGTTCGAGTTATCGGGGTTCTACAGTATATGAAAAAATACACGTCGTTTTTGTGTTACCTGTGGGAAGTCCTAGAATACAGTACTTGTCTTGACAATGATCGAGGGACTAAAAGATTAGAACATCCCTTCCTCAGCCATGAATATTTCTCGACGCATTTAAGTTAGTGACGTCACAATCGTCTAACGAAGTTGATTTTCTAGCATGTGTTATCATTGACCAGCCGGCCTCATTCTGGCCTGCTCGTTAGGAGCAACGAATAGACCCTTCCCGCGTTTCTGTACACAAAGGCACCAATTCGAGGCTCCGGTGGACAAAATACAGTGATTTGTATGAAATTGTCCACCCGAGCCTCGTCCTCATTTCTTTATGTTTGCTCTCTGGAGCGTAATGCGGGAAAGGTCTTTTTTAGGAATTTTCATTGATAAATTCGTTAAGGTGAAATTCCTCTGTACTGTATTTTTTACGTGCTGACGCACGTAAATTTCACGCGTGTTTGTTTGTGTAAACTCGACTATCTTAAATAATAATGTACCACAGTTTTTAAAGAATTATTTTAAGTTGAATAAGGAAGTTATTTCAAGAGAAACAAGAAGAAACAATTTTATATACTTACCTGCAGTAAGAACTGAGACCGCCAAGAAACGTTTTTATTATAATGGCTCAGTTGTGTATAATAATTATTTAGTAAATAAGAATTAGTTTTAATTGTTATACTGTACTATTATTAACTTATAGTTACTTATTTTCTTATTATTTATTTTGAACTTTTTTATTAGTCTTAATTTAGGGCTCCTATTGATAACAGATATACTTTTAAGTATTCTGAAGGGATTACCCTATTTAAATAAAGGTTTACTACTACTACTCGCGCGTAAATGTAAAAGTTGTACCTCACTCAACTTTTACGCTTATGTGGGACTTTTCATACTTTGTTTCAATTTTATTTACGCGTGAAAAATATTACGCGACGGTGGAAATCCACCCTAAGGCGCCTTAAAGCGCCTTACCTTTTTCTGGAAGGATATTTTATACCGTAAACCCCGAGACTAAGAACTTGGAATTTTTCCAAGTTAGCGTAAACAGGTTCTTATTTAAATGGTAGTTAGCACAAGTTTAGGCTATTTAGATTCTTACTGAAATAGGTTCTTTTTACCTGAAGAGAAAAAAAACATTATAGCTAAGAGTATTAAGTGGTTCGGCTTATTCCTCATATATATAAAATCTGCATACCAAATTAGAAGTTATGTAAAAATGACCATAAAAAGAGGAACTCAAGCAACAACAATTTTATTAGATTTCAAACATTGGCATTTACATCTTTATCATTTACAGTGATAAGGGACCTATGTCTNACTTGGAATTTTTCCAAGTTAGCGTAAACAGGTTCTTATTTAAATGGTAGTTAGCACAAGTTTAGGCTATTTAGATTCTTACTGAAATAGGTTCTTTTTACCTGAAGAGAAAAAAAACATTATAGCTAAGAGTATTAAGTGGTTCGGCTTATTCCTCATATATATAAAATCTGCATACCAAATTAGAAGTTATGTAAAAATGACCATAAAAAGAGGAACTCAAGCAACAACAATTTTATTAGATTTCAAACATTGGCATTTACATCTTTATCATTTACAGTGATAAGGGACCTATGTCTCCAAAGAGGATTCTGAATGTTGACTTATCTTATTTGCCGAAGTGTGCAGAATTTTTTTCATAGATTTTAGAAAATAAGAACCTGCTTCAAATTTTAGGCTGAACAGGTTCTTATATAGTGGGGGCTCAACCGGCAAATTTTTGCCTAACGGGTTCTTACTAGGTTCTTAGTCGCGGGGGTTTTATTGTATGCTTCTTTGTCTT